ATTAAAAAAAACAACGATATTATAAGGATAATTTTTTTATATTATTTTTTTATATAATATTCACACGTTATTAAATAAATAGATGTATTTAATATTACAAGTCTCATATAAATTGAAAGAACTAATCATTTAAATGACACTTCAAATTATACATAAAGATGATACAAAAAAATTATTCCAAAATCATTTCCGTAAAGAAAAAAACTGAAAATAAAACTCTGTATCTACAAAGATAGAGTCCACAAAAAGTGGTGACCTTAGCCTTTTAAGTCTTGAAATATATTACGGTTTTATAAGATATATCTGTTGAAATTCAACAACTAGCGAACAACGAGGATAAGTGCGAAGACAACAGTTGGTGTCTTGGTGAAGAAAGGGGAATGTCAATGAAGTAATAAGAGCGGAAAAGGAGGGATAAATTGAGTGCAAAGTAAAGTTAAACGATGCAAAATTTAGGGCCCTCACTCCTCAACCCTCTAATAGTTAGACACTGGAAAATGGAGACGGTCCTACAACAAGAAATATCCCTTCATTTTTATTTTAATCAATCAAGTACCTCTGACAGCTGGGTGAGGGTGAGGCAGCTGTCTCCAACTTGTTTGACCAGAAGAAAGAAAGCAGTATGCTCCAGTGAATTCTAGATTTCTTTGTTTAAACTCCATTAATAGGAATTTAAGACTTCAAATATAAGTTTTTAGATTGAACTAGTATGTTCTTAAGAAAAAAAAATAGTTCTCATCGCTACTTAAAATTAAGGGAAATTTTTTTTTTGAAAAAAAAAAAAAAAGAGAAAAGGAGTCTAGAGCAAGCAGAAATGCAGAATGTGTCATGTCATGAACACAATGCCTGTAGCGCAGGCTTTGTCACATTCACACGCTGTTTTTCTGTATTTTGAGCCCCACTGCCAGCTCTCACACTCATTACTCAACATTCCTTTCCTTTTTCGTTTTTCGTTTGTCCCTGCATAATACCCCCATACAATGCAATTCAGAAATTGTGTGTCTATTTGCATAGTTTCGGGATATATATATATATATATATAATGAGTTAATGGCAATTGAATACACAAGAAGATTTGATTAATATCACAAAATAATAATCGAGTCCAAAGAGTTTAAGTTTTAAGTACGGGGAAGGAATTTCTTTAGTGCTAATTACATGCAGTGATCAAACAAAAGATGCTTTTCTTCTTTCTATGAAGACCGACAGTTCCCAAACAAAATATGAGCCACATTATGCTATTTTGGAGCAAGCATGCTGTCAAAAGGACAATATGGTTAGGAGGGAACTGGCATAATAAGAGCCATTTGGAAGCTTACAAGTTACAACAGGTCCTCATGATAAAGATGAAGGCCCAGGCCAAAGCGTGCACAAGCTCGACGAAATGCCATTGCTTCTGCCTTCTGTACAGGGTCCCCATAGCCAGGTTCATCCACGGAAGCAGTACCTGTTGACTCCCTATATATCTTGTGGAATCAGGAGGTGAAAGCAGAGAAAGAATTTAAGTCAGTGACCCACTGTCTTCAGTTATATTAGGTTAGCTTCATTTGAGAGAAAAATGAAAGAATAGATGCTGTGTCTACAACAAGAGAAGACAAACAACAATACAGCCGTGTATAATTCAATCTGTGAGGAAGAAAAAAGTTTCAATCCAGTTATTCAAATCCATACCCAAATTCAAGTTACTAGATTCATAGAAACGTAACATTCACCAAATCACCGGATTAAAAGGAGATTCTCTATTCAGAGTTCAGAATATTTTCTCATCTCAAATAGATTAGTGAAACTCCCTGTTCAACCACACAACCCAATAATAGGAATGTCACTGTCATTTATGACCCAAAGAACTTGAGGTTCCTAGTTAAAGGTCTCAAGTTCGAACTTCGAGACTGGCAAGAAGGGATTTGGGAAAGGTGGAGACTATCCCTTCTTGTATAGCCTACTCATTAGATGTACCCAAAAAAGAGGCATGTATTGTTCAGATACAAATTCCAGAAGACTATTATAGGAAAAGCCCCTCCAAATCAATGTCTACCACCCTGCTTTCACCCATTCATTTGAAGCGTATTTCTGTTTTATGCCCGAAGGCATCAAGGCAATAGTACTTATGAATATGTAAATGAAAGCTTACTCCAAATCTTCAACATCTTTTACAAACCTAAGCAACATTAACAAGGTCATGCATCAATTAACAGGTTTCAATGTTTCCTAGAAAAATTAATCTACGTTTACATAGACACGATTGGCAAGGGATTCCTGATTCTAACTATTCTTGCACCATTCCTGAGGAAACCTAATTCACACGCAGGAAGACGAGGCAGAAAATCAATAAATCTCAAACATGACAGAAGATAGTGAAAGTGAGAATGAGACTGTCAACCTCTCTGTCATTGAAATTAAAAATTCATTCTCCATACTGTGTATTCAAGAGAGAAAACAATATTTTCTGCCTTCCTTTATCTTGCCAAAAGTGTGTACTTCACAAAAACACAACCACGTAGGTCGTGCTAGGACTTCATCCATGACTATGAATAAATATATAATCAGGGTTCCACTAACTGAAGATTGGGATTTGAATTCTTGACAGCTATTCAGATTTTTCTACAATTCGCTTGGCAGTACACTGTTCAGCTTCAAGTGAGTTGTTTTTGAATAGTAAATTTTTTAGAAGTTATTACACATAGCATTGAAGCATGTCATGTGTATTATGGAAAACAAACACAGCTAGTAATTGAGCTCCACCACTGCCGTAGAACAAGTCAAGAAGCAATCCACTAACACTAGGCCAGGCGAATTTCTCCATATTACAATTGGTTGACACCAGAACAAGGTCAAGTGTGTCAACCTAGTTGAGCTACTTCTCAAAAGATATCACACATGGGTATTTACCAAGTCATTTCGATAAGTTTATCAAATGAGTGCAATTCCAACTATTACATGCTTCTAAACATGCAATAGACACTTATAATTTTAAGAAGCATAAATTGGAAAAAATACCTCAGCATCAGTCCCATAGATTGTTACACGATAGACAACAGATACAGACTTTCCATCAACAGAATAAGTGATATTTCGAACCTCACCAGACCATTCTGCAATATTAATAAAGGAGTAACATGAAAGTTTTGAGTGTGAGGGTTTGAAAAACTAAAAAGAAGACACGGTCCACAATCACTTCGGTGAAAAAGATTTCAAATCTGGAGCATACCTGGAGCATGAAGATTCATAATCCGATTCACTATATGCCTGCAAAGAGTATAAACTGATCATCAGAGAAAAAGTTTCAACCTTCATTAAGTACTTTAGAAGAATTCAAGATTATATTCACAAGAAAAAGGGAAAGATAACAGCAACATACAAAACTGAAGAACTATTCCAAAAAAAAGAAAAAGAAAAGGGCCCTGGTGTGGATCATTTCAAGTTTTAATTCCAATATCACAAAAATAGCCATTTGCATTGACGCCTCCTTAAACTCAAGCACAAAACCATGCAGCCATAAAACCGAAAAGGACAGAAATCCTGGACATAACATGCTGGCCGCACTTCATTAGTTTTGAAATTTTTCTCAACAGCTCATGATAACAACAGCAATAGGAGCACAAGATATAAACTTTCCAGAAATTATTATATGCCCATTATTTTTCATTAGCGAAATTTAGCTCAAGTTCACTGATCCCTTAATTTTGCTTCTGCAAAGCAAAAGATTACTCACCAAAACCTTAGCATCCATGAAAATTAGCCAAACAAACAACCAAAAAGTAATTGTCCATTATATTCTAATTCAAACATTCATGAAGAACCCAAACTACCGAGGAAATAATCACCAAAAAAATTCTTAAAAAAACATATACAACAGACGAAGATATATATTGGGTGAGAGAGTTGGGACCAACCAGGATATGTATTTGGAAGTGAACCCATCTTCCACACGGAGCTTAACGAGGGAGTCCGGGACTTTCTTGTTGAGCTCCTTGAGAATCTCCGAGAGTGGCCTGCTTATACCTGAAGTGGGAACGGGATAGTCTTCCTCGCCCTCTATTCTTGTCTCTGCTTCTTTCAGCACTTTAGATGATTCAGCAGATGATTTTGAATACAACGCAAGAGGTAAAGACTTTCTCCAGGGAGATGAAATGTATGACGATCTTGCAAATTTCATCATCATGGAAGCCATGTTTGTGCTTGCTGGGTTTTGGGTTGCTTCTTTAGGTCTTTTCCTTCTGCTTAGCTTTTGAAATCGAGAGAGAAAACAGAACTGCAAAACCCTGTGATGTATTTTCAGGGTTTTTCGAATTTTTGGACTTTTTTTTTTTTGTCCACTTTATTTTTTTTTTTCTCCACTATACGAAGAACAGAGTCAAAGTCAAAGACAATTATTCATTTGGGTCTTCGGTTTTGGTCCATTTGAGGACATGGGCCTATCTGGTTAGCCACAATATATACTTTTTTCGTTAAAGAAATTTAAGCAATAATAATTTTTTTTAATATAAATGTGTATTAATTCACAAGTCACAAGTCACAAGTTTTGATTATAGAAATAGTATTAGAATAAATTATCTTCTTTCAAATGGAAATAAAAAATTTTAAATTCAACTTACAAAGCATGAAGTGGAGTAAAATAAAGTAAGAGATTTTATAATAGTGGCATAAATTGTTCTTTCATCATGTTACAAGAATTTGTTCCCAACAAATATTCTCATTGAGCATGGACGGATGCAATACCCAAAAAATGTTGCTTTTCCCCCCTGATTTTGGGTGATCTTTTAAACTTCAGTTTTTGCCTTGCCTTTATCTTCTATGTTGAGTTGTTGCTTGTTCCATTGCATGTGAGATTGTGACCAATGAGGCATCTAACGACCCCTAGCCTAGATGTAGTGTTGTCATAGATTGTACAAGTTTGTTATCTTTCAATAGAGCGCTGTCTTTTCCATCACAAATTCCCTCTTTCTTCAAATTTACATACGATTCCAAGGACTAGAAATATTATTCTCATCATAATCATAGTGTTTTATAAAATTGAACTATGAGAGGCTAAAATCTACCCCATGTATACCACTAAAAATTATGTTTGTTCCCTGTTTGGGGGCGTTGCTAGTGTCAAAGCAAACCTAGAAGAGACACGTGGACTACATCTTCAATGACTGGTCGGATAGTGTGTCACGTGGCACATCATACTAAAATGCTTTGATAGTCACAGAAAGTTGAGATAATTGATTACTTAAGCACATATGTGAGAATGGGGAGGGAAATAATGCAATAAAGGAAAAGTGTGTGTCTCAATCTCCTTTTTCTTCCCAATTGAGAACATGGCTTGACTGTTATCTCCAAAGACATTGAAGAAAAAGCTTTTGAAATGTAAAGTGCATTGAGGAAAGTTCGGTGGTGGTGATTGTGGTGGTGGTGGTCATCAACTGCCTACTAATTTAGCTTCCCTTTTGATCTCCCCACCTAATTAATCCTACTTCTTTTGACCTTTGCTCAAGAAACGCAATTACTTTGAAACAAATTGAAAGAAGCTTTGAACATTGTCACGTGGTCGGTTGTTTTTAATCAATCAAATTTTTAGAAGTTTCTTTTTCTTTTTTAATGGAATATCTAACCTTATGATTATGTCTGTGTGTATATGTTTATTTATTGATATCTTTATATGATATATAAAAAAAAAGCGTATAAAAATTCTCATACGCATAAAAATAATCATATATAAAAGTAAATGAGGGTTGACCTCTTGCAAGTATCTGAATTGAGAAATTTCAATTGAAAATTTGAGTTAGCCTACCATTTCTTTGTTTCAACCTTAATAGCACTAATTACTTGTTAATTACCATTTTCTTTTCTTTTGCTAAAGACAAAGGAATAGTTCCGTTTGTGCGCTCATCACGTGGCTATATTCTACATGGATGGATAACTAATAAAAAATTAGGAAAATGCTATATGCACCCTCCGGTTCGACACCCGGGGGTGCACACCCTTAATAACCGAGTAATTTTAACAATAAAATTACAGATTTAACCTTAAAAGTCTTTTTCCCCTTAATACCCCTTGTTCTTCTTGTCTCTGCACCTTCCTCTACCGAACTCTTCTCCTTCTCCGAAACCAGATCTGCTTCACCCTTTTATTTATTT